AGGGGGCCAATAGGAGAGATGGGAAGGGACTCTTTATGAGGGAGTGGAATAATAGGAGTGGGGAACGGTGTTAAACTGAAAGAAGGGAGATTTAGATTAGATTTTAGGAAGAAATTCTTTACTGTGAGTGCAGTGAAACACTGGAAAAGGCTACTCAGAGAAGCTGTGGATGCCATGTCCCAGGAGGTGTTCAAGGCCAGGTTGGATGGGGCTTTGAGGACCTGGTCTAGTGGGAGGTGTCCCTGGTCATGGCAGGGGGTTGGAACGGGATGACCTTTAAGGTCCCTTCCAACCCGAACCATTCTATGATCCTTGTTGACTGTCTTGCCCATTTGCAGAAGAAAATGACTGAGCTCCCTTATTGGTGACGGTGTCAGGTAAGTAGGGGTTGATTTCACAGTGTGTTAGTCTGCAGTGCAAGGCTTCGGGGTGCAATGGTAAGCCTGCACCTTGACTTTAGCTCTGGCCAATGACAAATGTCAAAAGCAGAGACAGGATGGCCAAGAAAAAAAAAAACAAAACTTGGCTTGCTCCCCTCTATCTTTGAGACTATTTCTCTCCACTTGTCACCAGCTCTCTTTGGGAAAAACAACAACAACGATTCAGTATTAAAATGTCTTCTTTTTTTTCCTCATTCTTTCCCTTCCTGCCCTCGATAGCAATAATAACAGCTCCCCTTTATCAAGCAAGAAGTCACTCAGTGTATTTCAAGCCACCGGACCTGGTTTTCCAAAACCTGCTGTAAAGGGAAATTATACGCCAAAGTGAAGCATTTCTGCCGTTAATCATCCACAGACAGAGTCAACCCTGTTTGATTGAGTTCACTGCCATAATCATAAATACTCTTGCTTTATGACCACGCTGGATTTCTTCTCCAGGAGCAAACACAGGCTTTCCCAAGGCTCCCAAACGAGTTGATTCAGCTTTACTGTGGGCAGAGCTGATTCACTGAGCACCTGACAACTGACAGGTAGGAATAAGTTGTGCTTCCTTGTTGATAGCAAAGGACGTGACTTTTCTGTCGTTTCTCCATCTCTGGTTTAGTTTTGCTGGGCAATGGTAGGACAACTGCCCCAGACCAGCTTGAGGCTGGCTGATCCCAGCTATCCACAGTGCAGTTCAAAGGCACCCCTGGATGGTAGATCACAAGCTATTCAGATAGAAACAACATTTTGCCTTCTGGACAACATGGGTCATGGCCAAGACCCTTCTGTTGTCCCACTGGATCAGTCTCAAATTCATCCTGCATTAGTCAGCAGCTCATCCTACAAGGGGATAAAAAAAATCCCTTAAAAACCCAGGATCCTCTCAGAGCACATGATGAAGACCTTAAAGGAAGGCAGGTGAGCCCATGGGAATCCAGAAGCTTGTGCCAAGGAGATGATGGAGCTGGAAGTACGCAAGGGCACAAGCCTCCCTTCAAAGTGCTCAAGGCTGGTCCAGGGGTGATGGGTACCAGCCCAGTCAGTCCATTGACAGGCCAGGCCATCTGGACGGGGGGAAGCTTCAGCCCACACGATGGCAAGATTTTGTACAGGGAAAAAGAGAAGAAAAAAAAAAATCACCTGGAGGTGGGTGTATAAGCAAGAGAAGGTAAAGGCCATGGTGTTGGGGAGGGGAGCAGGCTTGGCATGCCAGCAGTGGTGACTACAGAAGGAGGGAGTTTCTGGCACCAGTCCATATGACAGAGTAACACCAATGTTTGTTTGCTTGGCAAAGAGTCTCTTGGTGTGATCAGACCATACGATCCTGGAAGCCGGCCATGCTAATCTGCTCAGCAGGCTCATGGAAGGACTGCAAATGGGATGGTCCAACCACTCAACACTGGTAGTACAGTTTCCCTTCAGAACCTCCTCAAGATTTACTGGTTTAGCATGGATGGAGCGAACGCATCCCGGCCTCATCCTCCTAGGGTCCAAGTGCTTGTAGAGAAAAGGATGGAAAGGCGCATTGCAGATGATAATGAAAGCCCAGTAAAAATAGGTCCACTCAAGGTGATGGTATGTTTTGAGCACTGCTGAAGATGGCGTTGGGAAGGATGGAAATAGACCTCAGTCCTGTCAGCTTTTTGAGTGGTGTTAGGTCATTGGGTGGAATTCTGGATGGGCAATGAAGAACCAGACTTGGCTTCAAGATACCAGACGGTTTCTATTGTTCAAAGAACCCACTCAATGAATAAGCACGGGCACAGGACAGCAAAGGAAAGAATTAAAGGTGAAAGGAAAAAATAGACAGTGGAAATTTCAGTGAGAGAGGTGAGTCAGTGAGAAGATGGCTTCTCAAGAGAGGCGTGGGAGAGATATGCAGCATTTGTTTAAAGTGCCATTTGACAAAACCTCTCTGGCCACGGAGTGAATGTCAATCTGTGTTTGGCAGAATGCTCCTGTGATTCCATTCTTCCCCAGCCTTGAGGCCCTTGAGGGCCACAAACACACAGATGGCAATAAGAAGGACCCTGAAGATACACTTTAGGGCATTTCTCACACTATCAGGAAGAGAGCTATCTCTGAAAGTTTTGGGTTTTGCACGACCATTATCCTTGCAGACATTGTCCAGTTGTTCCACTGCTGAGAAGTTTTTCTTCCTTGCAGCAGATATCAAAACTAGCTCCTGACTGCCAAATGCTGTCTTCCATGGGAAAGAGGTTCGTGTCCAGAGGTGGTTTTGTTGCAGAAGCCAAGAGGGCTCCCACCTTCGTTAGGAATGATCAATGTAACATAAATGTGTTGCATGATGCTATCATTGCCTTGTAGGTCAATCATCATCTCTAAGGTCAGGTTTGTGCCTCTCCCTGCTGCCATGCAAATTGCACAGAGCAGCTTTGCAAGATCAGAGCGGGAGTATCTGAAGCTCAGCAGGAAATCTTCTGTTCAAGGGGATAAAGCCACACATCTGGACTGGTCTCCTAGTCTGAAGATGATACCTTTCGGGAAGAAACTCAATGAGAAATGATAAAGAAGCAATGGAAAAGCTGTGCTAAAATGCGCAGATGTGGAGAGGACATTTGCTCACCACCTCCTCCCCAGTTCTGCAGCTCAAGGCCTTGGCAGAGATAAAGACCATGAGCTGTGCCTGCCCAAAGTCCCTTCTCTAAGGAACCGGGATGACACAGAGCATCTCATGATCTCCTTTCTGATAGGAGCAAGTGTCAGAGATACCACAGATGTGATAGGGGTTGAAGGAGTCCTCCAGCTCCTCAGTAAGTTTTCCAGCAGGTTTACAGCAAATTCTGAATCCTCGTAGATGAAGAACTGGCAGCCTCTCTGCTCATGAATATTTATGTCCCGTCCCAATGCCGCAGCAGCTCAGCATGTCTGCTCCAGGACACCTCAACCTGCACGTATGTGACATCACCACCAGCACGTAACAAAGGGATGGGAGGGAATATGGGATGCCGTAGGTGTGTGAAGACCCTACCCATGTGTCATTTGGTCCAGTAAACTGGCTGGGGATAGGTGGGGGAACATGTTAGAGACACCAGGCCAGCTTGGGGAGCAGTAGGGTTTTCTTCCTCCGAATGCAACACACGTCGCCGGAGACTCCAGCAGCCGCCTCTGTGCCAGGAGGTTCAGCAGATATCAAATCTCTTTAATGGGTACAGGTCCCTCGGGCCAGGCAAACAACCAGCCATCTCAGGTCATTTACCAGACAGGCCAGGATGCTTTCAGACCGTTCCTGACCAGGAAGTAATTAAGTGGCTTCCTATTTGTATTCTCCTGAGCTCCACTCGTCTGCGAGTGCTCATTAGTTACAATATGAGGCAGACAGCGTTTGCAGCACCAGCAGCCAGCTCTGCATTAAGCCCCAAGGTCCAGTTCAGCTCAGAGACTGGCAATGAGGCATTCCCCAACCTCATCTGGAGGCAGCTGGATGCACTGGCCATTAGGCACCAAACCCATGAAGCCGCAGAGGTGCTCGAAGCACGGCTGAAATCCACTGGCGCTGTGGACATAGCCCTAAATCCTCCCCAGATCTCAGCTTGGAGGCAACCTCCTTAGAATCATAGAATCATAGAATCGTCTAGGTTGGAAGAGACCCTTGAGATCATCGAGTCCAACCATCTACCCTACTCTACAAGGTCATCCCCTACACCATGTCCCTTAGTACTGCATCTAAACGGCCCTTAAACACAGCCAGGGATGGGTTAGGGTTCTCTCCTGGAGAAGGTGCATACCCAGTGTTTCACATCCTCCCAGTCATAGAATCATAGAATCATCCAGGTTGGAAGACACCCTTGGGATCATCAAGTCCAACCATCTACCCTACTCTAAAGTTCTCCCCTACACCATATCCCCCAACACCACATCTAAACGGTTCTTAAACACAGCCAGGGATGGTGACTCAACCACCTCCCTGGGCAGCCTATTCCAGTGTCTGACCACTCTCTCTGTGAAGAATTGTTTCCTAATGTCCAGTCTAAACTTGAACCCATTACCCCTTGTCCTATCATCTGTAACTTGGGAGAAGAGACCGACCCCCACCTCTCTACACCCTCCTTTCAGGGAGTTGTAGAGAGCGATAAGGTCTCCCCTCAGTCTCCTCTTCCCCAGGCTGAACACCCCCAGCTCCCTCAGCCTCTCCTCTTAAGACTTACTCTCCAGACCCCTTACAAGCTTCGTTGCCCTTCTCTGGACCCGCTCCAGCACCTCAATGTCTTTCTTGTGGTGGGGGGCCCAAAACTGGACACAGTACTCGAGATGGGGTCTCACCAGTGCCAAGTACAGGAGGATAATCAACCTGGTACTGGGAGCTTGCAGTGGCTTTCCAAAGGAATGCACACCTTGTAGAACATGGGAAGGAGAAGGCAGGTCAGTGGGAGCCTGGTAGAGCAGAGTGGAGAGGAGCAGAAGGAAAAGTGAAGGTCTCCTGGAGGGCGAGCAGAAGAGGGAGAGGGTAGAAGTGGAGGTGGAGAAGGCTTTCCAGATTATTGGCATGACCCAGAACAAACATCAACCCCAAGCAGCCCACGTACACGGCGCGTGTCCCGTGCCCCTGCCTACCTCGGGCAGCTTGACTCGTCCCTCCTGGAAGGAGCAGGAGCTGGGGTCGTGAGTGCAGACGTGGCGGTACTTGCACCAGTGACACCGGTATGGGCTCTCCACACATGACAGGCACCTGGAGGTGGAGAGAAAGAGCAGTAATTTGGCCAGCCAGGCCTTGTCAGCCAAAAGAACAGACCTTGTGGGGCTGATGGTGTTTCTCAGCAGGAAATACAGTCCAGCAAACATTGGGTTTGCCATCGTGAGCAGAAGGCCAAGGGCTTTGCACCGACCCAACACTTTCAGGTCTCAGGACGATGCTGGACTCTCCATGGCCTGAGCTGGTTGTCACTGCGATCATCAGTCTCTCATATCAATTAGATAATTTAGATTGCATTCATTGTAACTAGAATAATAATAATTACTTTTGTGTTTTGGTTGCCCTGTTACAACTTTTAATCAGACTATCAACAGGTTCTTGGCTTCATACATAAGAGGTGTTCCCCTTTTTGCCCATAACAAGTCCTGAGTGTGACAACAGACACAAGATGAGGGGATGGGTGGAAACTGCTGAACTGCACCAGTGCCCTGCGAGCTGTCAACACATCCTGGGAAGGTGGTGGGTGGAGTGGTGCCCATGGAGGGAAGTCCTTGTGCACCACCAGTCCCAGATGGCTAGTCCTCCAACTCACACATGACGGGATGCACCAAGGGCAGAAAGGCATGGATGAAGCAGGGAATATCTTCCCTCTGTGTCCCAAAGGCTTATTAATGTGAGTTATGTGAGTTCTGCCGAGGGTGATGAGGCTTCTGCAAATGTACTATTCCTCTTTTCAACATTTCAGCAGAGATGTAAAGACAATTGCAGCAGCTCCTCGGGAAGCAGAGGGCATGTTTAGGAAGTCACCTACCCATGGCCATAGGAAAAAGCCATTCTCTCCATCTCGCAAGGTTTTGCTCTCCTATGCCCCACAGACCCTGCAGAGCGAGAGCTGCAAACACCCCTCCTGGCTGTGTCACAGTGCTGACTTATACCTACATCACTCTTTTTTGATTTTATTTAATAGATAGCTCCACACCGGCAACCAAACCAAGCCATAAGGAGCTCTTTGCACAAAACAAAGAGCGGATGGGAGCAACTCCTGATCGCTCACGCTGCTGGAGATCTACATGCAGCTGCAGGCTCTGAAGTACCTTGGAGGGGACTTGGAGGGGTGGAAATTTTTCCTGGCCCTTATGTGCCACCGGGATTTTAATGGGCAGGAATGAAAAAAATTGCCTCCAGTAGAGCTTGGCTGAGCCCAAGAGGCTGACGCACACCCTCTCCCCCTGTCTCTGTGAAATCTCGGCTCAACTCAAATCCACTTTCAGCTCTGGTACAGCGAGCTGTTCTTCAAATTGGTAACAAGTGCTTGCTCTGATACATCAAATTAAAAATGGATAGTGTATTATAGTTTGTCAAGTAAGGAACCAAAACATGCCATAAATATTTAACACCGCCATCTCTCCTGCTCTTCCCCCCCCCCCCAACACTTGCTTTCTGACACTGTTTGTCAAAGCAGCAGGAACACGGAAATAGGATTTGCCTTTCCTTGTGAATCGCTGAGCCACAGTAATTACCTGCTTTTTGGCACTTCTGATGGCTCAGTGGTGGGGACAGAGCTGCTCAGCCTTGCTCAGGGCTGGATCAGCCTGCTGGAAGGGCATCTTTCTGCAGTAAAGCTGCAGACCCATTCTGATGGGGCAGACCCTGAGCTGCCCTGGGTGTCAGCTAAACCCCAGAAGAATGGGGTGGAGGGCGGGAAAGGAGCTCGCAGGATGGGAAATTATTGCACCCATAAGCAGAGTGTGGGCTGGATGATGACGACAGGTCTAGACCATAACTCATCAATTTAAAAAATCCAGTGACTGAAGTTATCAAGTAGCAAAGCTAAGCTGAAAGAGACAAAGAGGAATTCGGTGGCCATAAAAACAGAGTACTGTCCTTAAAGTTCCTCCTTGCTGCTGGTTCATTTGATGTCCCCAGAAGGAAGGGACCTGTGGAAGATTTGACTGCTGGACCCAAACACTGGTGGCCTGTGCATACACTGCCTGAAGGATAAACATAACCTGCTTTCCTGAGGAAATAAAGAAAGATCTACTTTCTCCTCACCCTCATTTAACATGTCTGAATAGGGTCCAATATCCAGAAGAACATGCCTGAAGGCCACCTCCAGATCCTGCCCCCAAAGAGAGGTTATACCTTGATAAAATAGGATGGAATAATGAGCAAGGAGGGTAGATACCGTAACAGTGAGGGCAGAGTGGGGGCTCACTATCTGCAGCCTGGGAAATGCTGAGGAATAGGGAGATTCCCACATGAATGGGGAGATTCCAGGTCTGCTCACCCCATTCACCAAGAGGTCCACTCACCCAAGCATTTGGCTACAAAGAACGAAGCCCAGCACGAGGGACATGCACAAGCCATTGCGCTTCCAGAAGGACTAACCCATTTCTGCAGCAGACCCATCCACCACAAAACCTGCACCTCAGCTCCTACACACCACATCATAGAATCATAGAATCATTCAGGTTGGAAGAGACCCTTGGGCTCATCGAGTCCAACCATCTCCCCTACTCTACAGAGTTCTCCCCTACACCATATCCCCCAACACCACATCTAAACATCCCTTAAACACATCCAAGGATGGTGACTCAACCACCTCCCTGGGCAGCCTGTTCCAATGCCCGACCACTCTTTCTGTGAAAAATTCCTTCCTAATGTTCAGTCTAAACCTACCCTGTTGGAGCTTGAAGCCATTCCCTCTTGTTCTGTCGTTA